TTCCGATGTTTCATTTTGCTGAAAGCCATGCTGTTCGAAAGCAAGAAACTGCAAGTAGATCAATAGGTAGAAGAAGAAGGAGAAGAGATTGGATTTATACCTCGCCCTTCACTTGGAGTCTCAGAGCGGCTTATAAACTCCTTTCCCTTCCCCTCCCCACAACAGACACTCTGTGAGGTCGGTGGGGCTGAGAGAGCTCTCTTGAGAACTGCTCTTGAGAGAACAGCTCTGAGGGAAATTACTAAAAATAATAAGAAGAGATTGGGTTTATACCCCGCCCTTCACTACCCAAGGGAGTCTCAGAGCGGCTTACAAACTCCTTTCCCTTCCCCTCCCCACAACAGACACCCTGGGAGGTGGGTGGGGCTGAGAGAACTCTGACACAAACTGCTCTTTCAGGAACAGCTGTGCCAGTGACTGGCCCAAGGTCACATCAGCAGGTGCAAGTGGAGGAGTGGGGAATCAAACCCGGCTCTCCCAGATTAGAGTCCACACACACGGAGATGAGCACCGCAACTCTAGAGTTGGATTCGACTGGCTTTCGAGCAAGGGGAACCGTTACCTTTTAAAAAAACCACACTCCATTCTTCCGATGTTTCATTTTGCCGTTTCCAGTGCAGGGAGACACAAGAGCTCTCCCCCACCCCCAGCTTCAAGCATCATTTTAATGTCCTGACTATTTCCTGCCTGACCTGTGGTAGCTTTAAGAGGGGATATCCAGATATCTCTCTGGGGAAGGGAAAGGAGTTTGTAAGCCGCTCTGAGACACCTTTGGGTAGTGAAGGGCGGGGTATAAATCCAATCTCTTCTCTTCTTCCTCTTCTCTTCTGTCTGATTGCTCCAGCGCACTCTGATGGCATCTGGAGGGTCTGATAAGGCCATCCCTACTCCGTGCCATTGGTTTTTCCGCCCCTTCGTGGTATGCGCATCATCGCAAACTCCATAGGGAGCCGTCGGTGCGGAGATGCAATCCATCGATCCCTTGGTTAAGCGCATGGGGGGGGGAAGGCACACACATAAAAAAACGGCTCACCCGCAGTTGCGTCTGATCACACACTGACGGACTGCGCCCGCAGCTTCAAAGGGAGGTGTGATTGCGCAACCGCAGGTCAAATTCCTCCTGAAGGAAATAGTCTCGCTCCCCCCCCCCTGTTTTTTCTGGCTCGTGTGACGGCAACCTAAATATTGTGGCTGCCTCCTGCCCACCTGTCCCACGTCACACAGAATCCCAGCTGTTCCAGGAGTCTACACCAAGAATACAGAGCATCACTTGCCCCAGACTGAGAGTTCCGATCTATACCTTGTGGCTAATAGCCACTGATGGACCTCTGCTCCATATGCTTATCCAATTCCCTCTTATAACAACATAAGAGAAGCCAATGTTGGATCAGGCCAAATGTTGGATCAGGCCAATGTTGGATCAGGCCAATGTTGGATCAGGCCAATGTTGGATCAGGCCAATGTTGGATCAGGCCAATGTTGGATCAGGCCAATGTTGGATCAGGCCAATGTTGGATCAGGCCAATGTTGGATCAGGCCAATGTTGGATCAGGCCAATGTTGGATCAGGCCAATGTTGGATCAGGCCAAAAATACCAGGGGCCATCAGGAGGTCCAGCAGTGGGGCCAGGACACCAGAAGCCCTCCCACTGTTGCCCCCCTCCCCAAGCACCAAGAATACAGAGCATCCCTTGCCCCAGACCAAGAGTTCCTGTCTATACCTTGTGGCTGATAGCCACTGATGGACCTCTGCTCCATGTGCTTATCCAATTCCCTCTTGAAGCCGTCCATGCTTGTAGCCACCACCAGTGTTCCCTATAAGCTGAGTTAGTGTGAGCTAGCTCACAGTTTTTTAGCCTCCAGCTCACACATTTTTTGTCTTGGCTCAGGAAGGATGGTTCCAGAGCAAACTGATTTGTGCAGTAGCCGAATTGCTTGCTCACAACTTTAATGCCAGTAGCTCACAAAGTAGGATTTTTGCTCACAAGATTCCACAGCTTAGAGGAAACATTGGGGCCCACCACCACCTCCTGTGGCAGTGAATCCCATGTGTTAATCACTCTTTGGGTGAAGAAGTCCTTCCTTTTATCAGTAGCACCTTTGCAGATATTGGTGTCAAGGAAGAGAATGTCAGGGCAAAGAAAGACGTAATATGCAGGGGGAACCACCCCCTGCCTTGTGAACCCAGCTTCCTCTTCTTTTTGTCCTTTAATCGACAAGAGGTGTCCCACAGATTGGTTCTCAGTTGCATTATGAATCCAGCTTCCTCCTGTACTTCTTCACCCAAAGAGTGATGAACACCTGGAATTCACGGCCACAGGAGGTGGCGGCGGCTACAAGCCTCCTGATGGCACTTGGTATTTTTGGCCACTGTGAGACAGAGTGTTGGACCGGATGGGCCATTTGGCCTGATCCATCATTGGCTTCTCTGATGTTCTTATGCGATATTAGTGTTGGTTTACCCTCATTCTCTCTCAGAAGCTCTGCTGGGCGTAACCACTGTTGTGAAAATAATAAAAATCAAAGCTCCACGTGTGCCTTTTAAAGTTTGCTGCCATATTTTTTTTAAAAAAGCAAAATACAAATGGGGATCATAGTTCGATGATATGAAAAGACGGTGAGAACACCGCCGTGCAAGCAAACTAACAATATATTGCACCTGTTACAATAAAACAATTTAATCTTAACACATAGTGAATTAATTATAGGGATTCAGTAGAATTTATGAACATATGAGGTAGGCGACATCAGAACACATTATACGCGGCATGAACAATCGAAAAAGCAATGAACAATCTAAAAAGCAATTGGCGTCAACAATTTAAGGACCACCTAATGACGAATACATTAATACACAATGTACAAGCTGAAGTCCTCCTGTACACGCACAGTCTCCAGGTAGATCTCCCGTGGTGCTTGGAACGAGGACTTCAAGCAGAAATCTATCGTCAACTAGCAGATCCCGACAGACAATCGATAAAGACCGTTTCGAGAAGGCCCCTTTTTCAAGAGCTGACAACCTTCTATTAATTTGGTCAGATGCCACTTATCAGAAGGGCATATTACATAATGGAACACCACTGTCTCTTATCACTCCCAAATAGCCTGCTTCATAATTCAGGCTGAAAAGACAAACACAAGGGATCACTGTTATCTTTACCTGTTGTAGATTCTCCGGGTTGTGTGGCCGTGGTCTTGGCATTGTAGGACCTGACGTTTCGCCAGTACCTGTGACTGGCATCCTCAGAGGTATAACACGGAAAGATGTCTTGACACAGACATCTTGACACAGAGAG